AGCAGCAAAACCTTCCTCAGTATCCTGGACCAGACCTGGAACAGTTGCAAGGACAGGACTTTTTTTTTTTTTGTCATACAGCTGATGCAAGAGCCCTATCCTATTAACTCTGGTATATCTTGGCTGTGCTAGAAACCTAAGAAGAGTTGGTTAGGCCCTGGATGGGAGACCTTCTAGAGCTACAGGTAAGACTGAGAAATTAAACAAAAAATTACACCAAAAGGTGACAAAGACAAATTATTTCTGGATATGCTCTGAAGACACCTAAAGTGAAACTTGACTGAAAGGAGATTTTACGTAGAAAAGTTTCATTTCTCCTTCCCAAATGACTTATATTCACTCCAAATATTATAGATCCAACTGAGATATATGTTAGCCTTCCCAATAGAACAGACAGGCAACACAACTAGATGAACTACTTTGCTTTATAGAAAGGCTACAGATTGACAGAATCTTGAAAGTTTAATAATACAAATCACCCACTGTCCCTTTTACAGTCTGATATTTTAGGGAGGTTTCTTTTTGAAGTTTTTTCCTCTGCCCATTAGGCAGTTCTAGGCTAAGGCATCTTTCATCTGATTCTCCCTAGGCAGCATCTCTTCCCCAGTCCCCCAAGGTCATCCCAACTGACCACTACAACATACAAACAGCATGTAGGCAAAAGGACAGTCTGAAATAAAGAGGTTTGATTATACTCTACACAACTGAGAAATTCTGTCTGCAGGCTCTACTGAAATTCCATTACAAAGAATCCAAGCAATATGCAATCGATTGCCATTTGACACGGCTAACACTGCATAAATTCCCAGCCCTAGGCATGCAGCTGCCAAAAGTATGTCTTGTTCAGAAGAGTAAATGTATGAACAGCATTACATATAAAAAGCACAATCAATCCTATCAGAATTTTCTTTAAAATAAAAAAGGAGTGTTAATATAATGCATGACTAAGAGTGGATAGAGGAAGGAGGAACAAATAAAAACTAATGAATCATAACTTATTATCAGCACAGTATACTTTTCTGTTACTATTCAAAGCTTAATTCTGGGAAATATGTTCTTAACTGGTGTATTTAACCAAAACATAAAAAAATAAATTGTATAAAAACGAAAGGCATACTATCAGTTTATGAGAATGCAAGTCTGTGGTGCAGGAATTGTAAAAGTTTGTGCTGTTTATTATGGAAGAGGGTTCTGACATGAATGTACTAGCTTAAGGAAGATCATAGATTTCTTCTTTAACCTTGGATGCAGCTACTTCCTCTTCTCTGGTACTGAGGCAAAATGGCAGCCTTCGCTCACCATGGCATACTTCAGATATGTGTATTTCCACCTCCAGAACTCTCAACAATGCCTTGTTAGCTTGCGCATTCTGGGGAATTTCACACATGTAGGGGGAGGCCAAAGATCCAGTATGGTATGGTATGCTACTGCTCAGAATTAATAGTTTCTTTCATGTAAAAAAAAATATTATAAAGACATCACAGTCTAGCAGAGAGCCTGCAGTGGAATGCAATCTAAGCAAAATGAGAGAAAGGAATGTTCTTTTTGATTAGATGCCACTTAAGACAGCTAGCAATTCCTTGATCTGCCTTCTGTCTGATCAACAACACCTCTGCCTAATACTGATTAGGTAACAATTAGTAATAGCTAGAAAAAGAAAAGCTCATTCTAAAAACTATTTCAGAGCCTGATGGTTTTCATCCTGTGAAGACTTTATTTATAATGTCTTGATTAACCAAATATGATGATTGGTCAATGTCAAGGCTACCTGTCTTGGCAGACTTACTGCAGAAGATGCTCAGTGTCTCCAGAACTATAATAGGAATATTCTTTGATGGTATCCAGCCTTTTCGTATTTTTATTCAATCTGAATTAAAGGCAGGTGGCTTTAAGAACAAGCATTACAGTATACAATTCAAATAATGCAGCTACCTGGATTTTTGTATCCCCCAGTTATGTAGTTCAGGGGTCCCCAACCCCCAGTCCTTGGACTGGCACCGGTCCACGGCATGCCAGAAACCGATCCGCGCAAACAAGCAAAGCCCCATCTGCGTAATGCAGGCAGCACACAAACCCACGCCCCCTCCGGTCCACAGAAAAACCTCCATGGAACCGGTCCCTGGTGCCCAAAAGGTTGGGGGCCTCTGATGCAGCTATACCAGAATACATTAGCATTGTAACAAAATACATAACAAAAGTGCATTTGATTGTTGATGATGTCACTAAGTCATAATACTGAGATTTCAAAGAGACTGTTACTGTTTAGGTTTTGCTTGAAAAATACTAACTGTAAATATCATGATTTGGCTCCAAAAACAGAGAAAAAAGTCATTTTCACTCTGCAGTTTTCTTGGCTCCTTCTCCCACTTCAGCCCCTGCATTCCTAAAAAGCCATTTATAAAAGTCAAGGGACCATCTGTATTTGATAAGACTGCTCTGCAGAAGAGAAAGGACTTTTTATTGCTATACATATTTGATTTCAAGCCAGTATTTCTTTTGGTGAGCAACATTAGTTTTATGACAGAGCTACCATTTTGCTCCCCCCAAAATTGCTTGTTTGATTCACGATGTATCTAAGTTAAAAGGTCAGAAATCAGTTAAAAGGAGAACCAACAATCTGGAGAGCTGCTGAAAGCAGAACAGACAATAACTGGCCTAGCTGAATCCGTAACCTAGCCTGGTTTAAAAAATATTCTCTGCTGAGCCACCTTTAGTTAAATATTTGCTGGAGGCCCCAATTAGTTCCAGGGATCACTACTATGACAACAGGAAGTTTTGCAGTTATCAATTATTCAAGTTAACAGATACAATTACTCTGTAATTCTTGAACATAACCCATTAATTTGTCGCCTTCTCCAGATATACTTCATTGAAATTACCACTGAAATTATGAGAACTGTAGTCAACATATATGAAAATGCTAGGCCGGAAATGTAGACACTCTGCAGATGTGCAGATCATAACTGCCCGAATTCCCTAGTTAGCATGCTCATTGTTGAGAATTCTGAGAGCTGATATTTGTGCATCTGAGTCTTCAGAAAAGTTGCACAAATGTACAACTTAGAAAAAAAAATATTTTTATTAAATCAGCCAGTTTTTTTACATGCACTGCAATTTATCAAAGAGAATTATTAAGTAAAAACTAGACATTGAATCACTTCTATATGTTGAATACCAAACAAATATATTTCTAGGTAGGAATTCACATATCTATTTCTTATCTTTAGTCCTCTCTCACACACACACAATTTTTGGCACAAGAAGGTGGAATAAACTTCAAATGTACAAAAATATGTTTTGACAACAGGTTTTTACCTTGTTGCCTGATATACTATAAAGTATGACGACTTTTCCATCAAGAAATTCTTCTACTAACACAGCCAGGAGCGCCAATGCTTCCGGATTGAAAGGATCGAACGGTGATGTCACCATTGCCTGGGGGACACCCAGTTGGGGACTCTTTTCACATCCCCATGAACTTGGCCAACAAAGTGGTACCCATTTATCTACATGTGGTCACCCACTTTCAAACTGCTGGGTCAGCAGGAGCTGGATCATGTGACAGCTCATCTCGTCCTGCGGCAGCAACTGGGTCTCAAACATGAGCCTGCCAATCATCAGCCCAGCATCCTAAACTCATGAGCCACTGCGCTTCCTAAGAAATTCTCCTGAAGGGTCTGTTCATGTCTTAAGTACATAAATTAATAAATAAACTGAGGACAGGACAATCCACAAAATAGATAGAGTCACCTGATGGCAAGATACAGAATATAAATGTTATAAATAAATAAGATAGGCAAACTTATTTTGATTTTAGTAAACAGAGTTTAGCACTTCCCTTCTGGTTAAATCAGTTGCAATGATAGAACTTTACACACATCTACTTGGTATTAACACTATTTCAACCAATAGGAGTACTTTGTAGTAAGGTCTTATTGGATTTTAGCTCAACTATACCATTACAAAGATCTGAAAAATAAAGCTAAGATTTTTAATTATCAGGTTATAAGGAGAGGACATTCACAGAAAACATACCTAAGAATCAAAAAGCATTTTATCGAAATTTTTTGCATTAATGCACATCAGCTATCTCAGACTGATTCCTGCACGGTGCAAGATTACACAGTTTAAGCAATTCCACCTTGTTAACATAGTTTAAGAAACGTTTAGCAAGAAACCCCCATTTCCAAAGCGCGCATAAAACCTTCCTCCCCACTCATTGCTACAGTTCTGGTTTTGAAATAAGGCAATATGTTAGCTATGAAATTGCCCCTGCAGATTTATGCAACCTTTATTCTCATTAGTATATTTAAAGGTATTAAATGCACACAGTACATTTTCCAGGCCTCAAACAGCAAATGCTGCTAGATAATTCCATAAAGGCATACCGGACATATGGCAGTTTATAAAACCCAATGCAGTTGGAATATGGAGTGGGGAGGAGATTAAATAAGCAGACTTGACTTACACCGCAGAAAAGCAGAGGCCTGTAATTATTATTATTACATTACAATTGCCTCTTGAAGTAGTGATTCAAGTCCCTAACAAGGTTATGACAAGCAGATGAATCAGAAAGGAATGAGAAGGACAAACTACACATTACACAATAACATGGTTTCTCCCCCCTTTTCTTTTTTCTTTTTTTGTTAAAACCACAGGTTGGAAAAGTCAATTGAAGCACTGAAATTTATCTCAAAGCACTCCGTAATACGCATCCTTCTACTGCAAATATGGGACACTGTTTGGGAGTGAAAAAGAGCAGCAGAAATGGGGATAAGGGCAAAAAGACAGAGGACAAAAAAGAGTTAAAAGGCTTTGCCCTACACTTCTGTTCCTCTGTTCTGAATCACACCCTTCTTAAACAAGTTTTTCCTGTTTAAAGGGACATCAGCATACACTTGTACATAACATGCATTCTGGCCCTTCAAATAAATAGCACTTCCTTTGTTTTTACAGTGGAATGTTATTAGGGGAAAAAATTACTTGCAAGTGAAACTTACCAGATCTGGATTTAATGATGTTGCTAAATTCATTGTTACTTCCTTCAGATCCTTTATCAATATCCAAAACCTTGGCCATTCTTTTTTTCTCCCAGTTCAAAATCACGATATAGAATTATTTAAAATCTCTGCATGCTGAACTCACACTCTTGATTGTTATGAAATTAATATCTGAAACGTAAACACACATACAAAAAACAAATATACTTATTTTGGAACCTACATACTGTATTTACTGCATTCCAAATACATTCTAGTGCACCATATGAAATGTAATTATACACAATTTTTTCTCTGAAACAATTATATGGAATTTAGTGCAGGTCCCCAATCCCCAGTCTGTGGAACGGCACCGGGCCATGGCTTGCCAGAAACCGGGCCGCAGAAACAAGCGAAGCCCATCTGCAGGATGCAGGAAGCACCCAAAACCACACCCCCTCCGGTCCATGGAAAAGTCTCTCCCCACGGAACCAGTCCCTGGTGCCCAAAAGGTTGAGGGAGTCACTGGTCTAGTGGATACTTCCATAAAAGTATGGGCAAATCTGTAACCTCACACTTTTTCTCATCACTAGCACTTTATGTCTAAGACCAGAAAACTGGGGGTGGGTGGGTGTTTAACTAACAAAAAAGTTGCAGAGAAAGCAGTTTACTTTCTACCCCCAAAGCTTGTCTGGATGAGTTTGGATAACTCCTGCAAGGCTACATTGGGGAATATTAGTTATCTAAACACTAGTTATCAATCACACATTCGTTTATCTAAACTCTATAAAATAGGAGTTATACTATATACACTAGCAAAGGCACAATGCACGGTTAATATTTTTCTGCACCCTTTCTCAAGGGCTCAGAATCAATTCTCTACCACATGTTTATACTACTACACCTGGTAAAAGTTCAGTGAGGCTGGGAGTAGAGTGGAGGGTAACAAACCTTAAGGCATACTAGGAATAAAAACACGATATTCACTAATATCGGTATATAACTACAATGGGTAAGAGGAAACAGAACAAATAATAAGATATGGAAATAATGTTTAAGATAGGGAAATTTTATTTAGACTTTTATTCAGCACATGATCATTTCAGTTACCAAGCAGTACTATCCAAATCAGATTTTGCACATAGCACAGAATTTGGTTTCCATCCAATTTACCTTTCAGCCGTTTCCAGTTCTACAAGCAACCTCTGCGTACACACACTCCTCTACAAGCACACAGCATGTAATGGATACTCTAGCTGCTCATTCAACTATGTTACTACCCCCCTTTAAATTAACAATAGAGCCAACCTCACACTCAAGTTATTACCTTTTGCCTTCCCATCAAACAAAACTTCAGTCTTTTCTAAGGTCCTCTGAACGCTCCAGAGCAAGCTACTCCAGAGCAAGCTAGTTAATGCCTACTCAGGTTCCAGCCTACTTGCAAACCAGAACTTGCAACCAGGATTTTAAATTAGAAAACACCAACAGAGATTAGGTCATGCTATTCTTCCTTAAAATAACCAGTGACTATCCCAAAAAACCTCCAGATATGTATCAGGAAGGAGGCGGAGTAAGATTGATGATAAAGAGGACTGCAGTTACTTTCCGCTTCAAGTGAAAGCAACAGCTGTCTTTCTTCACTCTCTTTACACTAACCTTCCCCAATCTGGTGCGCTCCAGAATTTTGGAATTCTGGGAGCTGAAGTCAAAGAAATCTGGAGGGCTGGGAAAGGCTGCAGTACAATTAGATCACAAACAGAAGCAGCACTTCCAGTGGTATTTCCTCCTATATTAAAGCAATTCGGGAAATACCAATGACATAGGTAAAGTTAAGTCTCAGGACTTGTTACTTATCCCTTCCCACCAAATGCGTGCAAATATTGTAAATGTGAAGCCTGATAAATATTTGGGAGTAGTTTTGACATGCCAAGAAATCTAAAAGTGAGTGGGACAGGGAATCAATTTGCAGAAATGTACTATACATCAAGAGATTAACAGCGGTCAGCTTCTCCCCACCTCTCAAAAAAAAAAAAAACCCTTTAAAGAGATCCATAAAGTCAGCAGGAGTTAAACTTGACTCGAAGGCAACTAACCTTTATCTAGTATAAAACACAACCCCATGAAAGCTATCTGCGTTTTATAAAGGGCTACAAAAATCTGGGCATCATTTGATGGCGGCAAAGAGATTATTTCGTCCTGACCAGCGGCTGCCCGGAGTTTTACAGTTACATCTGGTAGCTCGGTCTCTAACGTCCATCACCAACACTATAGGTAGGTAATAAATTCCACAAAATGTGCTCAACTGGAAGAGTCCCCGGGTAGACCATTCTAAATAAAACATTTTACTAGCACGAAGTCAGATCACTAATGCCAAAGGGAAGGGGGGGGGGTTTAAATGGTCCTTCTCAAAGACAAACAAATATAAAGATCTTCCCCCCACCCCGCGCTCTTTCATTTGCTACAAGGCAGCCAGGTTGAAGAGGGGAAAACAAATTCCAAACAATCAAGAAGTCAGAGCAGCTCTAAAAAAGCGCTCGACCGACTATAAGCCAAATTAATAATAAACTGCCGTCCCCACGTGGAGCAGACTTCTCCACAAAGTTGTCACTTTGCAGCGAAATCCCCTCCGCGCTCCAACCTCTGGCTTAACCCTAAGCGAAGACGCACACTCACAAACACACGCCCGCCCGCACTCACAGCAATTACTCAACGGAAAGTATCCCCCAGACCGAGAATCAATTACGGCGGCGGGAGAGAAGTTGGGAAGAGAGTTCAGATGACCCTTTTGTCCTCCACTTTAGTTTTTTTTTTTTTTCCCCTTCACCGTCAATTATTCACCAGCTTACCTGCGGGGGGGGGGGGGAGAAAGCAGAGACTTTGGTGTGTGCCGGACGGTCGGTCCTCAGGGTCCGCTTCGTGGCGTTTTTTGCTACGGCTTCGCTCTTGCTAAAGATTTCCCCGAAACCTCCAAAAGAAAGCCGACGCGCCCGTCAGCAGAAGCCAGCGCCAAAGGCAAACCGCCGCCGCTGCAGTCTTAAAACAAGTCGCTAAAAGCAAAGCCAACTTTTCACCCGACGCGCTCGGCTGTTCTTTCGTTGCAACTCCCGCGAACCCTTAAGCCGCCTCTCCTTCCACTTCCACCGGCTGCTGCTTCGCCCGAAGGAGGGAGGGGAAGCGCCTCTCACCCAGCCGGGCAAGCTCAACTTTAGAGGAAGGGGGCGCGGCGACGAGGGGCGGTCCCTCGGCTCCTCCCGGCCCCCGGGATTCCTCCTTTGTTATTAGGTGAGGGCAGAGCGAGGGGGACCTTCCACCAAAAAAAGTTATCTCGGCTTCGGCTCGGCTGCCTCCGCTGCAAATGGAAAGGGAGGTGTGATAGCTGACGAGGCGAAGACCTCCTCCGCCCGCACTCCGGAGCGTTGACTCTTTCGGCGAACTTTTTTTTTGCTGCGCTGGGAACTTTCTTTCGGCGCGCACTTATCCTCGGTGCAGCCGACCTGCGCTGCTGTGGGAGGGAGGTGGCGTGACAGGAGCACGTGACCGCTCGCCTTGTCAATCAGCGGGGCCGCTCGCCTTTGCGAGATGCTCCTGCTGGTCTTAAATGGACGCCGTCGAACCCTGCCAGGAGGGACAGCAACATCCCCCCCCAGCCAGCCCCGGAAAGAGCATCCTAATGATGACTTTAGGAAACTACCGTAAAAACCAAGAAGGGATGGGCCTGATGAGTCCTTGGACGGGAGACCACTAAGAAATCCCAGGGCTGTAGGCAAGATTGGGAAGTTAAACGTCCAGGAAAAGGGCAATTTGTGCGGTGAAGATAATTACAAAGGCATCTCCACCTTTTCAGGAGTAGACTGAAGAGAATCCATTGGAATTGGGCGGTTAATAATTTCAAATAAATATATCAGTAATAGCCCTGGTTTCAAAGGAGAATTTTCTATGAATTGACTGTATTCCCTGATTTTATGAGAATATACACTCTCTCGTATTAACAAGGAATGATGGTGTGAGCATACGTTGGGCCACTCCTCCCCAAGAAGTAAGTAAGCAAGCAAGTACTGTTAGTCCTTGATTTACAACAGTTTGTAATGTCCGTTCAAAGTTACAACGACACTAATGAGCATTTTTTCATATTCAAAGACTGTTGCAACATCCCTATGGTCACGTGATCAAAATTCAGATGCTTGGCAACTGATTCATTTATGTACAGTGTCCCGAGGTCATGTAATCACCTTTTGCAACCTGACAAGCAAAGTCAATGGGGAAGCCAGATTCACTTTACAATCATGTTACTAACTTAACAACTGTAGTGAATCACTGAACAACTGTGTCAGGAAAAATCATTAAATGGGGCAAAATTCATTTAAATATCTCGCTTAGCAACACAAATTTAGGGCTCAATTGTGGTCATAAGTTGAGGATTACCTGTAAGCAAGTAAGACTTGTATTATTTTTAGCCCCATTTCAACCCCATTAGATGCGCGGCAGCTAATGTCAAGCAAGGGCAGTGGTTTTCTTTGCCTGCCTCTGAGGGAGTGCTGCTGCCAAGGGCAGGATGATGGTCTTATGTCTTGGGTGCAGGGGCACACACAGAGGGATTCCCCAAAATCAAGATAGAAACTGCACCACGGATCAAAGCCATACCCCTAATTTACATGTTTTGCATGGGTGATGCATACTAAAAAAAAGAATTGGACTTCAATCATATTGTTGAAGCTACCATCTTTTTAAAAAATTATAACTTCATGCCACTCACCTATCCCTGGATGCAGGCTCTGCTGTGGGAATATATGTTTCAGTGAGTCTATAATAATTATGTTGGTATGGAGAGAGGATGTGTGAATGTATGGTTGTAGGGTGAAGTTAGACATGGTACCTAAAGGCCTGCCATATGCAATATGCCTCTACCCCCACCCCACCAATCTCTCATCTCTTTGAAGAGAAAGTATAGGCTGTGTATGTTGGGCTTGCATCAATGACTTTATCAAGAAAGGTCAAATAACACAAGAGGAACAGTGTAAATCAAAAGCAGTGGACCCATTCCACCACAGGTCTATGGACACACAAAAATATATAAGACCAATGTAGCTCTTTGCCCAATTG